TCAAAATTTTTGATGGTTTTCCATTGATGGACTAACGTAATATTGATGGTAACCATCAATAATTCCATCATGAACCATTGTATTTTTGATGATAACCAACGTAATAAGTAAGCATCACGAATTCAGACTGATTTATGATGGCCCAACGTAAGAATAGAAACTTGTTTTGTTGGTTTGTTTATATGTTGAACCATCAGAAATTTCCATAATAATTTATTAGAAATCAAATGTTAGAAGGATCATGAACCATCATCACCCCAATGTAGGAATTCGGACTGATTTATGATGGGCCAACATAAAAGAAAAAAATCAAATGGTTTTTATGGTATATTCCTGTTGAACCAACAAGAGTTTTCAATAAACCATCATAGAAATCTATAGTTGTACCATTATAAATTTCCATAGTATACTAGAAATCAAATGTTTGAAAGGTCTTGGAACAACCATCCCCAAAGTAGGAATTCGGACTAATTTATGATGGGCCAACATATAAAAAAAACTAAATTGTTTTGATGGTTTATTCCTCAAAATAATCAAAAATTCCCATTATAACATAAAAATGTATAGTTAAAACCATCAAGAATCATCGTGAATAATTGGTTCATAAGAATCAAACTTCTCTTGATGGTTAACCATCATAGTAATTAAAGTGGGATTTTCCATCGTGGAATCTTGGAATATCAAAAACCATGAACGCATGATGGAAAATGTTGGATGATGGTGACCATCAAATGATGTTGGACCATCATGAATAGCACTGAAACCAACATAAACCATCAAAATAATATGAAAGGACCATCAAGGATTTTGACTTGGGTTGGGTCTGAATCGATATGCACATAGTCAAAATCGCTAAAACTGTGCCAAACGGCATCACGTTTTCTAAGTGAAGTAATCAAACAGGCTAAGTCTGACATAATAGTTGGAAAACTTGACAGAAGAAGATCTCTGGTCATCTCTGGCTTGTAGGACTCTTGTTGAAGTTAACAAATTAACAAATCTTGTTGAAGTAAACAAATTAAATTTAAGGATATCTAACGTTTTTATGAACTGAATATTATCAAGAATAAAACAGAAATGAGTTCCGGCGTATTTCTGGGTCATGCAACCCGTATTCATCAGAAAAATATGGGCAATGAAGATGGTTTTGGAACAGGAGATTTTTGTGGTTAGGTTAGAGTTAAATACCTTTACACTTAGCTCGGATTTGAGGAAAAACGCCAATTCAAGAAGTTTTACAACAAAAAGTTTAGTTTGATTTATTAAAATCGGGAAACTAAATTTTTGTTAGCTTAAATTTATGAAATGATGTCATTTTCGTGACTGTGGGAAAACGTATAGTTTGTCTACGGTAAGAACTCCTCCCACCACAAAGTCTGAGGCCGTCTACTGCTATGTAATTAAGAATAGCGCATTTCAGGGAGGGTAGCTTCTCTTCACTCTAGGGCTAATAGACCGAAGAAAAAGATTTTCTTTCTTTCGCCTTCCTAAACAATGAACACACACCCCAACTTCGAATATTCTTAATTTATTCTAAGAATATTTTAATACTCTGTTCGTTTCAGCCTTTTATTTTCGACGCGATAAAAAAAAATGTCTCACCCAGTTTGTGGTACACGCGTTAGTGTTTTATGCAATATGGATATTTTTAAATAAAAGACTTAAGGATTTGGAAAGGCGTGCTACCGAAAAATAAAAATAGATTGTGTGAGAAGCAATTGTAAAAATTTTTTTGGGTAATTCAAAATTATTATTTATTCTTCCGTTTAAAATGGATATAAATTAGATTTAAAATAATTGTAATTTAGAATAAAGTATGATTTACAATGAACTATTATTAAATGATAAAATACAATAAAGTTAGAATGTCTGAAAATAATTTAGACTTTGAGATCGATGCATTGCCGTTGTTGTATACAAAATAAAAATCTAAAAATAAATAATCCAATAAATATGGGAAATAGCTTGCAGGCTTTACTAAGATAAATTACTGAAATAAGCTTTTAATATTTCTTCCTCTGAAAAACCACCGTTTTATTGAAAATAAATTGCCTCTTTGTTTTTCAAATCACTCTTTGAAACTTACTTTGATTTGAAACTATTTTGAATAATGAAAAATTTTTTTAAATAGTTAATTTTTTTGAATCAAATGAAACAAACGTTTTAGTTAAAAATATATCATATTTCAAATCATATTAAAGTTTTATTAAAAAGATTCTTCATTCCCGGATTAAATTATATTAATAGTCTGATTCAAAAGATTTGAACGAAAATCGGACGCATAAAATCGTACTCATAAATTTAGCCGAAATTAATTTTCAAAGAAAGTTGTGTCTCGTGGGTTTTAAAAAGCGTAACTACTAATTTTGAAGTTTAATAAATTTGTCATTCTCTCACTACTGCAAATAATGAGAAATGAAGTAAAGCTTTAACTACTTAGAAAAAAACAAACAATTAGACGCAGTGTAATATTCTATGCAAAATCTTAATTGGGTATAATAAGAAAAAAGCACAACTACTTCCACTTACTAGGAATAACATTTACCTTTTAGTTTAATAAACTAAGTTTTAAATATGTTTACTAAATTCATAAACTTCGGTAAAACAACACTATAAATTATTTCCTAAGGAACTAGACTAATACAATTCCAACCTGGCGAGTAGCGACTTATAAACAAGTCACTTCGTTTGATGCTTTTACTTGTTGCTAGAAATCAGGTTCGCAGAAAATGCTGTTTACTAGTTAAATTTAGTAGGAATAACACGATCTGTGACGTAGGCTATAGTATACCCAATTGTCTGTCAAAAGCATTAATAAAAGTAAAAATATTAAAAAAGTAACGGGTCAGCAAAANAACTACTGTGTCAGAAGGTATTTAAACACGAAGTTAGCTGTGAATGCATGTATATTGGACATTAATTTTATAAATCAAAAAAACATAAGCATTTTTTTAAAATTTAATTTTTTGTTTTTTTAGAAAGCTTACCGAGTTTTAGAAAAAAGTAACGATTTCATTCGATATTTCCGTTACAAATACTTGTACTTTTTCCCTAAAAAAGTAGCGAAAGTACAAAAGTACTAAATTTAAAAAGTAACGAAGTACAAGTAAAAGTACGTACTTTTTACTTGTACCGGCGGTACAAGTAACGAAAGTAAAAGTACTGCCATATATGGGCTATAGTATACCCAATTATCAGTTGATATTATATAGCTGTATTATTTAGTGTATCAATTGGTTAACATTGTAATGCAATACGTTAAAAATAAATACAAATAGAAAGTACGTTAAAAATCTCCTGAATAAAAAACCCATTACACGTATGTTTAAGTATAAAAGTATTGCATACAATCTCGCACATAACATGCCATTATTAAAACACTACAGCGCGTCTAATAGTTTGGTCTAAACACACTGGCGTAAGAAATTAAGAGAATTTTCAGATTTGGTAGATCATCTCTAGAACAACTGGACCGATTTTAATGAAATTTGATTTGTGCATACATTGATACAATACAAAACAAATAACAATTCAACATTTGTAACACACACGCATGCGTAACACTGGTTGGAGTCGGAAGGTATGAAATGGCCACAGGACAATTGAGGCCAATTGCCACAGAAAATGCTAAACTGCCTTATTTTAAGCATGAAATTACGCTGTAAGGCCTATATAACTGTAAGAGGGGGCCACAATCCTTATTAATCCATTTTTTTGTTGTTTTTTTTATTCTGCAACCCCTGTTTCACACCTTCCGACTCCAACTAGTGTTACGCTCGATCGTGTGTGTGTATTATAATTGTTGAATAGTTATATGTTTTGTATTGTATCAATGTATGTACATTGATCAATGTATGTACATTGATCAAATTTTATTAAAATCGATCCAGTTGCTCTAGACAGGGTTTCTTAACCTGTGGTTCATGAACCCCTAAGGGGTCCACGAGTTATATTTTTGGGGTCCGCTGACTGCTCCTAATTTTTAATACGTTTGGAAGCCTACCCATCGCATTGCTTGTAAAGCGAGCTATGGCAGCTATAATTCTGTTTGCTTCAGTGTATGAAGCGGGATTTTCCACACTTGTGACAATAAAAACATAACATCGTAATCGATTGTATATTGAACATGATATGCACGTTGCTTTGTCGAAAACCATCCCCGAATTCGACTTATTAATTAAGGAAAAGCAGCAGCAACCTTCACATTAAAAATTTTATATACTATTAAAATAGTATAATTAAATGTTTTCTAATAATGGATGTTTTTTGCAATTATTTTTTTCACAGGGGGGTGGTCCGAGACTTAATTTTAAAATGGGTCCATTATATCAAAAAGGTTAAGAAACACTGCTCTAGAGATAAGAGAATTTGCAGACTGAGTCGATTAATTTCTTACACCGGTGTATTATAAAATAATACCTGATATAATATATATTCTATATTTATATAATATATAGTCTCATTTATCCACAATCGAATTTATGTTACATATAGTCTAATTTAACCCACTGATACACTAACGTAAACAAGTGCAGACCACGTAAAAACATTAATGCTGTATAATCAAGACTTTACATAGAATCTTATAGTGCGTTTTATAATTTGACCAGGGAATATATATATATTTCCCATCCTTCATAAAAAGGATAAAAAAATTGTTTTTAATTGAGTACATACATAACTTTCAAATGAGCTCTAAAAATATAGTCCTTACAATTCAACACTAATGCCCATCTCTTTTACATTCTGCGCATACAAAAGAAGGAATAAAAATGCCTCCCTGATTTAGTAGAGGGGGCTTACCAATGCATAATCTCTCCCTTAAAAGAAAAGAAGGAGAGAGAAAAGGGGTGGATGCGAAAACAAAAAGCGGGAAAACCTGGAGTAAGAAATTGTGAGAACATACCCACTTGTTCTCTTTTCTACATCGCTACGACAAAGATGAAGTAGATAGTGACATAATATATGAGAAGTCATCTAACCCCCCTCTTTTTTTTTCAGGAGGGAGGAAGGAGACTGATATCTCACGCTTCACCGCCTCCGCCCTCAAACAACCCGCATCTCATGATAATTTTCTTCTTTTGAAAGACCAAGCGACATAGTTTTGCTAAGGTAAGCAAAAATAATGCTTTATTTAGTAACAGTGACATTCGTGTTTTTCTCGTTAATTGTACGCTATTTTCTCGGAAAAAGGAGGCTTTTATTTTTTGAGGGGTGTTATTTTTCTACTGGTAACGAGAAAATAGATTTATTTGTTTCATCTTTTTCAATTCGATTAAGAAGCTCTTAATTTTAATCACCGCCCCCATGTGGGTTCCGGACTACGTTTGGCTTTGCTTTTTTTGTTGTTGTTTGCTTTTTTTGGCCTCTTTTGTTGCCTACTGAACTGAAAAATAGAGGTTGTTTGTAAGGTATTATTTATATGTTAGAAGTTTTCATACTTCGCGCTTTCATAAATTGTTTGTTATTTATTTCTTGTTTCACAGCACACAAGTTTTATTTTTGGAGGTGAATTTCGGGAAAGTGTTATGAAATATTTTATTTTAAGTCCTATGAATTTGGGGGGTACATTCTGAAACAATGACAAGCCTCTAAAAAAAATCCATGAAATTTTTTCATTAATTTGCAACGTTCTTTAACACTAGAAGGAATGAAACTTAGTATATACTTATATTGCCAAAAAGCAGTCAAAATGATTGGATTGTGACAAAATAACTACTGTGTAAAGAAATTTGTTTAAAATAAATTTTTAATATTTTTTTAAAATGTTATTTACTGTTATACAACAAGTTATTAGTAAATATTAACAATAAAAAAATTATAAGTTGTACAAAAAGTTACACAATTCTAAGAAACTAGTAGGCTGCTAACGCTCGCCAACCCCCGAAAAATTCCTACGCAATGTTATATGGTTTGCTTCGCAAATCAAGCGCGCTTCCCTCGCTACTAACTTAGGTACATTGCAAATGCACAAAATTCTAAGAATTCAAAACAATCATTCAAATCCATATGAATTTTTTTTTTTTAAAAATTACATCTTTTTAGTAAATACTAAGTCATTAAAATAAATTTGAATTCAAATAAATGACATGTAATTCGTTAAACCTATTAGAAATGTGCTATAGTATAAAATCTTAAGATAAAATTTCTAAAACTGATATCTCTTTAAAAAGGTTAAAATTTTGGCTATAATTAAGTCTATTAAAAATTGAAATAAGTGAATTGCAATGGAAAAACCTGCATAAACAAATAAATTCTAGTAAAACAAATAAATTCGTGATATAAATCAAAAATCGTCAAATAAATTCGTAATATATAAATTCGTGAAAAAAAGCGCTTTCGACAAAATACTAAAATAGAGATCTATCGACAAAGACTACTCACTTCTGCCTAGCTTAATAGTATGAGATTGCCGCAGCTGATGCTCTCTGGTTATTTCAGTTTCCGTTTTTAAAAGCGCTATATGTTGAGCCACCTCAGCTAGATTCGGCATGTGACATTTTTAGCGGCAATCATAGGTCGATTAGCCGTGTAAGAGAAATAGTAACGTAAGCAAAACAAATCAAACTTTGCCACCGGCGGAAAAGAAATACTGCCAAAATTTGGGAGCCACGTAAGAGAATTATATATATTAGATTGTGTCACTATTATACATCATTGTTTTCTAATTCAAATTAAAAAAGCAGTCAAAATGACTTCCTTGGGCAATCTAGTGTTAAAATAAATGTTCAAAATTATTACAAAAACATCTTTTTTCATTGCTTAACGTTCATTTACTTATAATAAACATTTCAGGTTCTGTTGGAGAAAAAAAACCATTTTAGGTTTTGCTTTTTTGCTGATGTTCTGAAACTATGAATTATAGGTTTTTTATTAGCTATTGGATTCATTCTTGTGCACCGAAATGAGATAATATATTTATTTGACACCAATAATGACGAGAATGCTGACTTACAATACTTATAAAGAAGTGATGACAAAATTTTCCCACAATGGAGAAAAACAGGGATAAAATGAAAATAAATTCTCATAAAAATGTTAAATATTGAAACATTTTTTCCAACAGTTTACGTTTACCATTGCTATGTAGTTTAAAAACTACAACGTACTAAGTTATTTATTGCATTTTTATATAAGTGAAAACTAAAAAGCAAACAATTGAAAAGTAAAGTAAATGTAGCAATTTTCTTGAGATAGTAAAATAACTTTAGTTTCTATCAAAATCCGGAGGTTTGAAAAACGTCATTATGTAAAGAACTGTTAGAAATCTATTTAATTAATACAATAAAATAAATAAATCATAATATAATTACACTTCTAAATATATATGCTAGACAAACCACAAATTAAATTTGAAATTACAAATGTCATACTAGTTTTTATGGTCAATATATTTCTACTAAAATATAGTCAATTTTTATAGTCTATACTCCTAATTAATATGAATAAAGATTAAGTATAAAATTTAAATCATATGAAAGTAGTTTTTTTTTTAAATAGAGTTGAAAAACTTCTCAGTTTTAAAAAAAACGGATGGAAAAAAATTACAACAGTTTCAATAAAAATGTACGTTTTACTTAGTTCAGCATAAAAGGGCAAGTTAACAGTGCGTTTTTCTAACAATATATAAAAATCTGATGAGGGAGTCTCAGTTTTTTATTGTTGTCGGTGCATTCTTATTGGCTGGAAAATCACGTGGTAGGATCTAGCTTTCTCACATAAATTTTCCTTTTCGTTTGGTTGCCATAAGCATAAAATTCATATAAGTCATAAAGGTATTGCTTTCCTTTAAATACTTTTGTATCCCTAATAGGTATTTACCTGTTCTGTTATTACGTTTTTGAATTTCTTTTTTTTCTAAAATAAGAGTTTAGAAGGATTGTTTTTTTTTTATTATAACAACGTAATTCTACGTAACATTTTAAGATAAGAGTTATTTAAATCTGCGTCTGACCGTTTTACAATTATTATTATATCTTTGGTCCAGATTACATTATTATATACTAAGATGAATTACTGTAAAATAGATTCGTTAAATGATTTAGAACTTAACATTCAGCTTCGCGCATAAAGTGATGAATGCAAAAAATTGTATTTAAAATATACATCCTTTCGTTTGGAAAGTATTAAATTACAGTTGTTAACAAACCGAATTGATTATAACAATATACTTTTAATTTCAAATGTTATTTCAAAAAATGATTACTTAAAAAAATGATTTATGTTCAATAATGAATCTTAATAGGAATCTCATAAGGGAAATATATATTTGGGCGTGGAAAGTGGCGACACAAGTGCTCTTTTTAGTACATAAAATTTTGTTGTTGCATAATTTCAACTGTTTTATGTCAAGAAACAGCAATAGACGGCTGAAGACTCTTCTTGTAGTAAATGGTGACTGATGCACGTGAAATCTGTTGGGTCACAAAGTTCTCCATGTCCCCATAACAAATCAAAACCCCTGGGGGTACTGAATTGAAGATGGATCGTTCACTGTTTCAGTTCAAAATTACGATCTATCGAGTCTACCCTATAAACGGGTGCAACGTATGGGTGTGGCAGAAGTTGAATTCTTGGCCCTAGATGGCGCCACTGGAAAACAAGAACAATCGCACTAATTGCCTTAATGGCTTATGACAACAACAACAATAGCAACATATTACGAAGCAATCATCGGGGTTGGAGAATGTCAGCGAGCAGGTGGATTAGCTCTCTAGTAAATCCATACTTATTTTAATTGGTAGTCAGCAGCAACTGTTTTTAACTCACTATTCTATATTTTAAGTTGAAATTTAGTCGTTACAAGTTTTATTTCGTTAACAAGAGAATTCACCAATGATTCTTAATAAATGCCTGTTAATAATAGTTACAGTGTTTGCATTTACTGGTGTTAAGTGGAGGTAAGCAGTAACGGTTAGTTTTAAATATCAGTTCTATTCAAAATGTTACAAAAAATATTAATGATTTTAAACACTGTGAAAAGCATAAAAATTCTAAATATGTAGAAATTATAATAAATTAACAATTTCCGTTTTTCTTTAAAAAAAAAACATAAGCTAAAAATAAGGAAATGTCATCACCGTTTTTTGTAAAATAAGATATCTGATGCATAAAAATTTGAAACGATAACACACAATTTTGCGACTTCTTACATCATACTGTTTCTTAGTATTGTTTCCATGTATATGTATTTATTCCATAGATAGGTAATTTAGTCGCTTTGGTAAATGCAAGAAATATATACTAGGTCTAGTTAAGTGACACTGCCCGAAATACATTTGCCCTTTACCCCGAACAATAATGTTTTTTTCAGGTCAAGTGCCACTGCCCGGTATGCATTTAACCAGTTCTCCGAAAACTGATGTTTTTCCTAATCTATCATCAGTAGATATTAAAATAAATATAATATCAACGAATAAATTAATATCAAATCGGATACAACAATTATTCTAACATTCCCCAAAGTAATTGTTGACATTCACCAGTGAAAGTCGACATTCTCTTGATTTAGGTCATTCACGGTAGCATCTACATTAGAATAACGTTGAGGTGAAGCGGGTTCGAATCCCAACGATGGCTGGTCGATACGAATTCCGCCTCTGGCTCGCCTCGACCACAGTGCTGACGTAAAATATCCTCAGTGGTAGGCGGATCACGGGATAGAGTCCCTTTACCCCCACTCTAACCGCGGCAGGTTTATGTGGTTTTCCTCTCTATGCAACTCAAATTCGGGTTAGTCCCCTCAAAAAGTTTTCCACGGGTGTTTTTCATTAAATATTTGTGTTCATTAAATATTATATTTTATTATATATATAATTTATTAAATATTAAATGTTTTAAAAATATGGTTTATAATGTAAATTAGACGATATATTAAGTAAATATAGAATACTAGGTATATATTAGTATATTATATCATGTATTATATTAGTATATTTTAATAATTAAACCAAATGATCAGACGCACTGTAGTGTTTTAATAATGACATGTTTTGCACGAATTTATAGGCAATACTTTTATACTTAAACACACATGTAAACGTCTTGTTTGCATTAATATATATATATATTTTTAACGTATTGCATAAGAATGTTAACCAATGGATACACGA